CTAAGGTCACTTGAGCCACACTTACCAGCTTTACTTGTAGGCACATAGAATCTTCTCATCTAAGTGTTTGCACCTACCCAAATCTCCTGTGTAAATTGCAGGCCAGTCATTCTTTGTCTTTCTACCCTTCCTTTTTCCTCCCCTTCTCCCTCTCCTATCTGTCCCCAAAGGAAAGATCTGTGTGAATAGAGAAGTAATATAAAAGTGTAGTTTGCTATAATCAAAGCCTCTTTTTTAGGCTAAAGGCATAACTTAAGTAGTTGACCACGTGCCTAACAAGTATGAGACCCTGAATTCAAACCCCATTGCCAGTAAACTCAGAATTTCTAGAGCTAGGCACTGGTAGCTCACTCCTTTAATTCTAGCTGTTCAGGAGGCTGACATCTAAAGATCACATTTCAAAGCCAGTTTGGCAGGAAAATCCATGAGACTTTATCTCCAATTAACCATCAGAAGTGGAACTCTGGCTTAAATAGTAGAATACTAGCCTTGAGCAAGAAAGCTCAGGGATAGTACCCAGGCCTGGATTTTAAGCCCTAAGACCAATACAAAAAAAGTAAAAATAAAAGAAGCTCCATTGTCTCCTGATGCAGATCTTCATCAATATGTATCTTTTACAACTTATTTCTTCAGTGTTAGGGATTGATCCCAAGGTCTCTTATCTCCAATTAACCAGAAAAAAAGCAGGAATTGGAAACAAGATTCAAGTAGTAGAGCACCAACCAGACTTGAGTAGGAAAAGCCAAGCAAGAGCTTCATAATCCTGAGTTCAAGCCCCAGTACTGGCACAAAAAAACAGCCAGGCGCCGGTGGCTCATGCCTGTAATCCTAGCTACTCAGGAAGCTGAGATCTGATGGTCGCAGGTCAAAGCCAGCGTAGGAAGGGAAAGTCTGTAAGACTCTTAACTCCAATAAAACCACACAGAAAACCGGAAGTGGTACTGTGGCTCAAGAGGTAGAGCGCTAGCCTTGAGCTTAAGGCTAAGGGACAGCATCCAGGCCTAGAGGTCAGGTCCCACAACTGACAAAAAAAGGAAGCAGACCAGATCTATATGCTAAAGCATGAGAGATTTTCAGCTGTCAGGATTGTGTGTGTATGTGTGTGTGTGTGTGTGTGTGTGTGTGTGTGTGTGTGTGTGCGCGCGTGTGCACGGGCCAAACCCAGGGCTTGACCTCAGAGCCTGGACACTGTTCCATAGCTTTTGTGCTTAAGTGTTCCATCACTTGAACCACAGTTCTTTTGTTATTTTTGGTGGTTAATTGGAGATAAGAGTCTCATGGACTTTCCTGCAAGTCTGGCTTTGAACCATGATCCTCAGATGTCAGCCTCCTGAGTACCTAGGATTATAGGAGTATGCTACCGGTGCCCAGCAAGACTCTAGGATTTAACAAAGTCTCCTAACCACTTGAATATTCTTGATTTCTACATGTACCATACACCACCCAAGATGAAAAACAGAGTAATATTATAGGATCAAATCCTAATAAGTAGCTAGATCTTTGAAGAAGGTTCTCTAGAAACTAGAAAACTCTCTTAGCATTTACGTTTTTCTCGGTATTAAATCCAGATACATATAATCTTTGTTGTTAATACTGTTTTATACTTTTTCTAAAGGAAAGGGTTTTCATGTGAAAAGCAAGGGAAGCATTTCATTTTTGAGTTCTGGAGTTTGAACTCAGGGCCTTACACCTACAGGGCAGGTACTGTACCACTAGGGCCACACCTCCAAGCTGGTTTTGGATATTCTTGGGGACGGGGGGGGGGGGGGGGGGGGCGGGGGAAAGGAAGTCAAGCCTCTTTATTGAGACTTGGAGGCCAGGAGGGGTTGAAAATGCACCGGAGACAGCAAACTCTGTTGTCCTCCTCGTGCAGGCCCTTCTTGGACCCTTAGTCTCTTATCTGCATCTTGATGTGGATAAAAATACAACCTAAAGGCAATTAGATGTTCTATAACACCTCCTAGCTTTTCAGTGACTTTCCTGTATGTATTACTGAATTAGTACCAGAGATATCCATTAATTAACTAGTTTGTTTTCATCTTGAGAAAATCCACTTAAAAAGCAGAATGCTATTTTTTTGCTATGGCAAAATAATACTATCAGGAAATTATTTCAGAATGTCTCAGCAAGTGAATTGTTGGCAGAATATGTTGGGCATTCAAGTGTAAGCTCTCTCAAGAGATGAATACTTAGGTTTAGAGACAAAGTCCTCTGCAGTTTTAGCCATTTGGTGAACTTATCTGTCTTTTCTCACTAGTGGCAGTGACAGGCTCAGTGGCAGCTCCCTGGGCTTTCTTGCCAGTTGTATGCACTGAGCATTTGATATGTTGGCAGACAGCTGATTCTTGGATGCGTCTCTGAACCTGTACAGGTCTGCTTCTGGCAGAATTGAGTGTGACTCTTATCCTTTACCCATTAAGTTATCATTGTAGCTTCCTTATCTTTATTTCTTCTGCAAACATGCCTTTGAAAGTGTTTGTCTCTTTTTTGGCAGTTTATTTGACAGTATAGAAGTGTAGAAACATTTGTCTTATTTCTAAATTTTATTTCTTTGAAAGGGAATAAGTGAATGTTTTTCATAAGTTGACAGCTCTAATTATTTTTATTTTCCCTATGGAATTATTTTAAGAGTTTAACTTAGAATCCCCTAAGAAAACACTTAATTGCTTTTGTTTAGCCCAGAAAAATTTTGTGTTCCTCTCCGGGCTCAGTATATTATATATCATAAACATTTTTTCATTGCTGTAAATCACATGGATATGTCCAGATATATATTGTGTATTAGAGGAAAACTGGAACCTTTTATATTTGAACTTCAGTGTTTGGGTGTTCCTTGCCAAAATTGGAAAGGGCATATTTAAAGAAAGATGATTGCATGTTATTGCCATATATGGAGACTTTTCAAAGCCAATCTGATTTACTCTAACTTGGAGTGAGCTTTAGCTGCTAAGAGCATAGCTGAGATAATGCTTAGTAATTATCTCCTCTATAACAGGCTACTTTTGTGTTCCTTTCATTTAGATGTCAAAGCTGACTTAATTTGTTGGTTTGCATGATGTTAAACATTCTACAATTACTGGTTTTTCGTTGTAAGCACTTTCAGTGTTTTGAAATTCTGTGAACAGAATAACCACTATGACAGTGGGTTCTAAACATGGAAAGCTGGTTGCAGCAGGTTGAATGCTCAAAGGCTGACCAGCTGAGCTGCCTTCAGGTAGGGCCATCACCTTTAAGGCCTACAGCCAGACGTGGGGCCCCAAGGTTAGAGAACTTTTAGTGTGATTGGGACTTTCCCTGTCACAGAAGACTCCTTACAAACAAGATAGGGTAGAAAAAAATCTTGTTCGTGGTCTTCATTCATTAAAATAAAGGTGTTTGTTTATGAGTGTTCGTTCAAGAACAATTGAAAACCTCAACTTTTATTTCCTTCAAGAGGAGAATTTTTTAGCAATAAAAAAAAAATTTAAGAATTTTTAAAGTTGTGATCTGCTTTGAAATCTTTTGTAGGATAATGGCCTTAATTAAGGATGAAACAAATAATTTGCCACTAAAGTAATCTTTTAACAGTAGTCTTTTTTTCTTTAAATGATTATTGATGGTTTATTTTAGTCAAATAGGGATGAAAGGAAGACATTTCTATTTGTTTTTACTTTTTTTTCAGTTTTTGTCCAGGAGGAGGGGGGGGGGGGTTCTTTGTCTTTATATTTTCCTAGTGCTGAAGGCCTTGAGTTCTCTCATTGGGATTTTTCAATCACAGCTGGTGCTCTACCACTTGAACCACACCTCTAATCCAACTTTTTTCTGATTAATTGGAGATGAAGTCTTGAGGACTTTTCTTCATTATTTCTACCTACATTATCCAAAATATGCTTGCAGTAGATTTCTATGTTATCTCTAGTAATAAAAGTCATTTAGGCTGAGCGTTGATAACTAGGCCTATAATCCTAATTTCTCAGGAGGCTGAGATCTGAGGATCACAGTTCAAAGTGACCAGCCTGGTCAGGAAAGTCCATGAGACTCTTATCTCCAATTAACCACTAGAAAATCGGAAGTGGCGCTGTGGCTCAAGTTGTAGAGCGCTAGCCTTGAATGAAGAGCTGAAGGACAGCGCCCATGCCCAGAGTTCAAGCCCCATGACTGACTCTCCAAAAAAAGTATGCTGGGAAAGATGCAGAAGAAATGAACAAGTAAGCCCAGTATAGTTGATCTGAGGTTGGATATGGATTTTATTTTTTTTAATGAAAACTTTTACTGTAACACTATTTTAATTCTATATTTTAAGAGTTAGTATTTTTCTCTATTAGTGAACTTGGTGTTTAATAGTGAAGACTTTCTATCATTTTGGAATACATTTTAAAATGGACATTGATTGAGTCATAGTTTAATTGACAGCCTTTTCTTTCTTGGTAATAAATAATGGTGCATCTTATATTTAGTGGCATGGTGCATCTTATATTTAGTGGCATCTTGGGTTCAGTGAGATTTGGTAATAATATCTAAAGCCAACTGCCTTTTGGACTGTGTGTGTGTGTGTGTGTGTGTGTGTGTGTGTGTGTGTGTGTGTGTGTGTGTGTGTGTGTGTGTGTGTGTATTTTAATATCTAAAGCCAACTGCCTTTTGGACTTGTGTGTGTGTGTGTGTGTGTGTGTGTGTTACTGGAATTGAAACCAACACCAGTGAGGTCATTTTTAAAATTTTGAGAGACTTGCTCAATTGATCCGACTGGCCATCCATCTGCATCAGCTTCTCAAGTAGCTAGGATTTTGGCATGAGCCTCCGTACCCAGCTTTTTGCAATTTCCATGTAAATATTTTACCTGTCCTAATTTTAAGAGTCAGGAGGTTTGTTGCTTTGTATTTTGTTTTCTTTAGCAAGATTATTAACAACTGGGGTCTGATGGTAAATTCAGTGATAGTCTTTGGTGGTAATTTATTATTTATGTATATACATGTGAATCCTTGCTTCCCCTCATCATTTTTCCATTTCCTTTGTTTTTCAAGTGTCAATATACAGTATCTGGTTTTATGACAAGAATGACTGTCATCGCATAGCAAAACTCATGGCTGAGTAAGTATATTAATAGATTTAACTAATACATATATGTTTGTGTGTGTGTGTGTGTGTGTGTGTGTGTGTATATATATATATATATATATATATATATATATATATATATATATATATGAGAAAGAAAAATTACTCCCCTCCCCACATATCTTTGTTACTTAAGTTTATTAACTCACATATCTTCCCTTACTGCCTTTTTACTACCAAAAAATCAAAAAGGGCAAGAAACGAAATCTAAAGTTAACTACAATCCCAGTACTTCCAAGTGTTCCCAAATGTCTGTTTCCTTCCAATCTACTTCTTTATGTGTATATTAGGCTGATATATGTGATTGTTTTTATGAAAATCAGAGTATATTATCATCCCATTTTTAAATGTCAACAGCATTTTTTCAAGACAATAAATTTTCTCTGTAGTAGTTATAGTGACTTCAATATATCCAATCCTGTGCTTTACACTTGCCAAAAGCCTTAGCTCCAGAGAATATCAGCTGCATCCAGCGCACGGTTTGACAACCAAATATAAGCTATCCAAATTTCTATTTTAACAACTGTTATATAGCACTCATGAGCGCCCCCATAGAGAACTTCCTCATATGTCCATATTTAATTCCTTCTGACACAACTAGATTTAGCAGTCTATAGATTGTCTTCTAGGCAATATTTGTAACTTAGTCTTGAAATTTGGAAAAAGTAAATGTGTTGTTATCAAGGGCTTGAACTCAGAACCTTGTGCTTTTTCCACTCATGGCTGGCATTCTACTATTTGAACTACAGCCCCTTTCTGGATATTTTTTGGTTAGTTATGGGGCTTGAACTCAGGACTTAGGCACTGTCCCTGAGCTCTTTTGCTCAAGACTAGCACTCTACCACTTTGAGCCACAGCTCCACTTCTAGTTTTCTGGTTGTTAATTGGAGATAAGAGTCTCATGGACTTTCCTGCCTGAGCTGGCATCTAACTGCAATCTTCTTATCTCAGCCTCCTAAGTAGCTAGGCTTACAGATGTAAGCCATGGCACCCAGCCCTTCTGACATTTTACTGTTTAATTTTATTTAGGTCCTTTCAAACTCACCTGCCCAGGTTGGCTTCAGATCTCCATCTTCAGATCTTAGTTTCCTAAGTAGCTAGGATTATAAGGATGAGCCACTGATACTCAACTAAAATAATTTTCATTTAGTTGATGTTCTGAAGGATGATTCATCTTTTTGCAAACTGGACCATAGAAAACCACAACTGACATTCCTATCTACATTTCTGGAATGCTACCCTAGATTCTGAGAACCTAAGACATTGGTACTAGAAGGTCCTAAGGGCCTACAGAGCTCTGGCAAAATGCTGCAGTGAGAGGATTGTTTCTGGTGCACCTCTGCTTTCCCTTCCATTTTATCAGAATCCTATATAAATCTCTTTCCTTCTATCAAAATTCTCTTTCCTGTAAGGTTTGTATCTACATGTTTGGGAAAAGTCTTTAAATTTTTTAATTAACTTTTTTTTTTTACTTATTTTTTTTTTTTGCTGGTCGTGGGGCCTGCACTCTGGGCCTGGGCACTGTCCCTTGAGCTCTTCAGCTCAAGGCTAGCGCTCTACCACTTGAGCCACACCGCCACTTCTGGCTTTTTCTGCTTATGTGGTGCTGAGGAATCGAACCCAGGGCCTCATGCATGCAAGACAAGCGCTCTACCACTGAGCCACCTTCCCAGCCCAATTAACTTTAATTTTTAATTAATTGAACTTAAATCAGTAGTCCTCAAAACTTTATACCCAGGAATATTTACATTTTTTAAAAGGATACAATAGCTTTCAGACACCATTGGTTCACTCCTGTAAGCCTAGCTACTCAGGATGCTGATATTTGAGGATTGTGGTTTGAAATCAGCCTGGGCAGGAAAGTTCATGAGACTCTTGCCTCCAGTTAACCACCAAAAAGCCAGAAGTGGAGTTCTGGCTTAAGTGGTAGAGCATTTGAATAAAAAAGCTCAGGGATAGGACAAAGGCCCTGAGTTCAAGCCCCGGGACCAGCAAAAAAAAAAAAAAAAAGAGGGAGAAAGATGCAATAACTAATACCAAACATGTTCCTATTGGATGTTTACCCATCTCCATGTTTATTAAGTGACCCTGCAGAGTTCTTCCTGTGAACTTAGAATCACTCTTATCAGAAGAGATGTTTGTAAGGCCCCATGCAGTGTCTCATAACTGTAATTCCAGCTATTTGAGATACAGAGAGCAGGAAAATTGAAATGTGAGGCCAGGGCTGGGAAGGTGGCTCAGCGGTAGAGCACTTGCCTTGCATGCATGAGGCCCTGGGTTCCATTCCTCAGCACCACATAAGCAAAAAGAAAAAAGCTGGACAATGAGAAATACAAAATGTCATGTCAAAACCAGCTTTACAATGTCGGTGGGGGGGGGGAGGGGGGGTATGATTGGGTGGGAGGGAGGGGGGAGGCTGGGAAGGGAGGTGAAGGGTAAACAAAGGAGGAGGATGCAATGCTTGGTAAGAAATGTATGCATTATCCTGCCCATGTAATTGTAACCCCTCTGTACAGTATGTTCTCAAATAAAATAAAATAAAATTAAAAAAAAAAAAAAAAAAAGAAAAAAGCTGGAAGTGGCACTGTGGCTCAAGTGGTAGAGCGCTAGCCTTGAGCTGAAGAGCTGAGGGACAGCGCCCAGGCCCAGAGTTCAGGCCCCACGACTGGACCCAAAAAAGAAAAAACAGAAAAGAAATGTGAGGCCAGTTTGGGCAAAATGTTAGCAAGATGCCCTCTCAGTCAGTAAACCAGACAGTGTGATATGTGCCTGTGACCCCCAGCTATGTGAAGCCTAGTTATTCTTGAGTTATTTGTGAGGCCATAGGTAGGAAGATAGCCTTGGACAAAAATTCACTCCCTACTTGAAAAGTAACTAAAGCAAAAGAAGGGTGAGGACTTGACTCAAGTAGTGGAACACCTGCCTAGCCTTGTTGCCTATTTTCAAACCTCAGTACTGCCACGGACGGACACAAGGAAGGAAGGAAGGAAGGAAGGAAGGGGGGGGAGGGAGGAAAGGAAGGAAGGAAGGAAAGAAATTGTTGGGTTTTTAGCAGCACTTTGCTTTTAAAACACTGTATCTAAATAAAATAAGACATTTTCAACAGAGGCGTTTTTAATTTATAAGAACAAAGGCTTCATCTTTCCACTGAGCTGTACCCACAGTCTGTGATCACTTTTTCTATTTGTTTTGAAAGTAACAATGAAAACACATTCTTTTTTCTGGTTATTTGGAAGACATTTGTGGTTTGTTGATTTGTGGTTACATAGAAATCTAGAATATTTCTCTTACAGATCTGAACTTTGGAAAATATTGAAATATTCAAATTTGGTCCTGCTAAATGAGAGTTTGGGGCCTCTGAGTAAAAAAAAAGGCCTTTTGAGCTCTAACAGCTGTGGAGAATGCAAGAATTCAAATGATAAATGAAGCTGAAGGCTGAAATCTTATCTGAAAATATTGTGTTGCACTATAAAATAGGATGAGGCAGTAGAGAGAGAAGTAAAGAACACTCTGAGGATCACAGTTCAAAGCCAGCCCCAGCAGGAAAGTCCATGAGGCTCTTATCTACAGTAAACCACCAGAAAACCAGAAGTGGTACTGTGGCACAAGTGGTAGAGCACTCACCTTGAGCTGAAGGGCTGAGGTACAGTGCCCAAGCCCAGAGTTCAAGCCCCACGACCGACAAAAAAAAAAAAAAACACGAAAGAACACTCAGGGGAATTTCACTTAAAATACACAAACAAAGGGACCTTTGATTAAATTTTCACTTTATTTGACTTGAAATGGGGAAAGTACTGAATATAATTAGGCCAGATGCCAATGGCTTACTTGTAATTCTAGCTACTCAGGAGGCTCAAATTGTAAAGCCAGTTTTTTTTGTTTTTTTTTTTTTTGTTTTGTTTTTTTTTTGTCGGTCGTGGGGCTTGAACTCTGGGCCTGAGCACTGTCCCTCAGCTCTTCAGCTCAAGGCGAGTGCGCTACCACTTGAGCTACAGCGCCACTTCCGGTTTTCTGGTGGTTTATTGGAGATAGGAGTCTCACGGTCTCTCCTGCCGGGGCTGGCTTTGAACCGCGATCCTCAGATCTCAGCCTCCTGAGTAGCTAGGATTACAGGCGTGAGCCACCAGCGCCCGGCTGTAAAGCCAGTTTTAAAGACAGCCTGGGCAGACAAATCCAAGAGACTCTTATCTCCAGTTAACCAACAAAAAGGTGGAAGTGAGCTGTGGCTTAAGTGATAGAGAGAAAAAAAGCACCAGGCGCTGAGATCAAGCCCCAGTACCAGCCAAAAAAAAGTAATTAGAAGCAGGGTGTATTGGATTCCTAGTACTCAGAAGACAGAAGCAGGAAGGTTATAAGTTTGAAGCCAGCCTGGGTTATATAGTAAGTCTGTGTTTTTAAAATAGGAAGGAAAAAAAAAAGATAACCAGGAAGATCCTTGTTGATAGTGAGGTTTTTTTAAGTGCCTGGCTAATTATAGCTGAAGAGAATGCTTCATAAATGTTAACACTAATTTTATGATAAATGGCTCTGTGATTCCTAGATTACCACTGTTCTAAACTCTAAATGTGCATTTATACACCTCTGTGTTCTACATGATTCAAAATACAAATAAAACTTTTTGATATATTATGCATTGCTGGAAATGTAGAACACTGATAGAGTGTGTGCTCAGCATGCTCCAGGCCCTAGGTTTGATTCCTAGTACCACAGTAACAAAAAACAAGCAAACAAACAAATGTTTCTGTCAGTACCCATTCGGTTAACTGCATTTCTTTTCATTACTCTTAATAGCCACAATATAATAAAAAATCTTCAAATAAAAATGATTTATTCCAAAAGACATTTTAAAAAGCTGTGAAGCTGTGCAGGAAATTAAGTGAACTTCTAGACCTTCTATGTCTAAATTTGGATATTCTCTGTGGTCAGAGGCAAAGGGGATTCCCTAAAGACTCTGGTCTGTCAGAAACTGTTGTTAATCATAAAAATTTGTTTGGATGTTTGCCCAGATACTGTGTAAAACTTGGAGAACTTGTGGAACTTTATTCCTGAACTTACAGTCATAGGGACCTGTTTTGGTGGGAGATAAAGAGGGATGGGGTAATGAGGATTAAAAACAAATGTACTTGGGGCTGGTAATGTGGCTTAGTAGTAAAGTGCTTGCCTCGCACGCATGAAGCCCTGGGTTTGATTCCTCCATACCACATACACCGAAAAAACCGGAAGTGGCGCTGTGGTTCAAGTGGTAGAGTGCTAGCCTTGAACAAAAAGAAGCTCAGGGACGTGTGTGTGCGCTCTTGCGTGTGTGTGTGTGTGTGTGTGTGTGTGTGTGTGTGTGTGTGTGTGTACTTATTGTCTTACCTGTGTAACTGTAACCCCCCAGCACATCACCTTTTCAATTAAAAAAAAAAGAGGAACGGAGAGGAAGAAAGTATTCACTACTTGCTAAGTAGTAACTGAAAGAGGCCTTAGAACAGGCTTTGTTCATTAACTCCTTTTCCTTTGACCATTGTGAGATTCCTGCAGTATCTGTTCCCACAGGATTATTAAAAATGTACTTTTGAGCCAAAATCACAAGTCCAGTCAGGAAATAGTTGCATACCAGTTGGCCAAGTCAGGGGTCATGGTGAGAAATAGGTAGAAAACAGATAGTGTGAGAGTTCTTCTGAAGGTGTAGTAAGGTGTGGCCAATAAGGGATAGTTGATCAAATTCTCATATAACATACCAGTCTTGTTCAGTCTATCAAAAAGACTTTCATGCTAAATTTGTTGTACAATTGTTTCTTTTTTGGGGGGGGTGGGGGTCCAGTCGTGAGGCCTGAACTCTGGACCTGGGCACTGTCCCTCAGCTCTTCAGCTCAAGTCTAGCGCTGACTTGAGCCACAGCGCCACTTCCGGCTTTTTTGTTTCTGCTTATGTGGTGCTGGGGAATCGAACCTAAGGCCTCAGGCATGCAAGGCAAGCGCTCTACCACTGAGCCACCTTCCCAGCCCATACAATTGTTTCTTAAGAGCTGAGATTCTAGAAAGACTACCCATGCCCTTAAAGTAGCAGAGTGGTCAAATCAATTTTGGAGGACTGGGGGCATAGCTCAAGTGGTAGAGTGCTTGCCTAACAACATAAAGTCCTAGATCCAATCCCAGTACTGCACCAGGGGAGGGAGGTTGGGAGGGATGAAAGGAGGAGAATTTACAAGTTCACTCTTCTTGTTAAAACTCAGAATGGCAGCTGGATTACACCTGTAACCTCAGCACTGGCCTGTAATCTCAGTCCTCAAGAAGCTAAAGTATAATGATTAAGAGACAGGTCAAGGCCAGCCTGGTCTATGTAATAAGACACTCTCCCAAAAAATTGAGAATTCATATGCAGACGGTTTTAAACCCATAAACTGACACCACGGAGTCTTTTCTAACCTGTTCCTCTTATTCAAAAAAACCTTTTGGTATTGAATTGTTTTGTTGCCTATTATCATTGTCTAGCAGGTTCTCAATTAACAGTTACCAAGTTATAGCACATATCCATAAAATCCCATGGTAATTGTCACTGAAATCTGAATTAGAAAAGGCAGCTTTTAAAAATTTATTATTTATTTCAAGCTTGAAGAAACATACAGGAAATAAAATATTTTGTTCAACTTTTAATTCCTACTATTTTAATTACTATTGTAATTAAAATTTAATTACTATTGTAATTAAAACTACTTTGAGCCTTTCTACACAGGGGAATGGAATGTTCTTTAAAATAAAAGCCGTGAGATTTAAAGGTCTTAATCCTAATGATAACATTCTTTTTTTATATAAATATTATTTTATATGATCAGAGGCACAGAGTTGATAGCATTCTTAACTGGAGACTTCTTGCTTTGTGGGTTTTTAAATGAAGAATTAAGTATTAGAAATAAAAGTAAAGAACATTCCCCCAGCCACCTTGAGTTGAGTCAAATTAGTGGCAACCTTTCTGTTTGTAAAGCTTTTTTTTTTTTGGTCGGTCGTGGGGCTTGAACTCTGGGCCTGGGCGCTATCCCTCAGCTCTTCAGTCAAGGCAAGCACTCTACCACTTGAGCTACAGTGCCACTTCATTAATGCTATTAACTCTAAAAGATTCACCAAGACTCATTTTCTAGGCTGGTTCAGTATGAGTAAGTCCATGATGTATTATTGAGTTATATAGTCAGTCTTCAGTGTCTTAGTAACATATAACATTAGTAACAATCTTACTGCTTAATCCAACTGATTTTGTGTTACTTATAGGAGAAAAGGAGATACTTCAGAGGAGTTTTGTTTTGTTTATTTAGATATGTGTATGTCCAAATATGTTTGCTTGAGACTAGGTTTTTACTATGTAGTTTAGGCTGATCTGGAATTTTCAATCCTGCCTCTGCTTCCTGCATACTGGAATTACAGGTATGTGTCACCACACCTGTCTTTGATGGAGTTTTTAAAGTACCAACTTCCAATACCTCTAGGAAGGAATTCTGCATTTTTGTTCTTGTAAAGGCAGTATACATTGGCTGGCACTGTTGTGAACAGACACCAAAGATACTTGAGTCAGTTCGTGTAAAAAACATTGCTAAGCCACATGCAGCAGGTGGTTTACACCTGTAATCCTGCCTGCTCATGAGGCTGATCTGAGGATCATGGTTCAAAGCCAGCCAGGTCAATAAAGTCTATGAGATTCTTATCTTCAATTAACCACCAAAAAAGTCAAAAGTGAAACTGTGGCTCGAGTGGTAGAATGTAAACTTTGAGCACAAAAGCTCAGGGACAGCAGCCAGGCCCTGAGTTCAAGCTCCAGGACTGGCACAAAAAAAAATCTAAAATCTGGTTCTCCTTCTCTAGTGTGGTAGAAGAGGAGACACGACGATCGCAGCAGGCTGCTCGAGATAAACAGAGTCCCAGCCAGGCCAATGGCTGCAGCAACCAGAGGCCCATCGACATCCTTGAGATGCTGAGCAGAGCGAAGGATGAGTATGAGAGGGTGAGGCTCTCTGGATACTGACCAGAAAACACCCTTTCATAATTCTCTCCATCTCTCCTAACCCCACTCATGCCCCCAATTTTCCTTGTTCTGTTTTTGCATATATAGATTGAACTTTATGACTACATTCTACCCACCCTTCCTCTATTCCTCTCCCCCCCCCTTTGAGCTTCCCCCATTCTGACACCACAAGTTCCAGCTTCCTGGTATTCATTTTGTTAAACTAAGTTAGTTTTTAAAGAAAGTTAAACCAGCCGGGCACCCGGGCACTCACACCTGTAATCCTAGCTACTCAGGAGGCTGAGATCTAAGGATCCAGGTTTGAAGCCAGCCCAGGCAGAAAAGTGTCCATGAGACTCTTATCTCCAATTAACCACTCAAAAACCAGAAGTGGCACTGTGGCTCATGTGGTAGAGTGTGAGCCTTGAGCAAAAGAGCTCAGGGACAGCACCCCGGCCCTGAGTTCAACTGACCAAAAAAAAAAAAAGTTAAATCATTAAAATCCTCCCCTACACATACCATATTTTAGTTAATATGTTTGTATATGTATGCATATGACTATATGTTTGTGTGTATATATATATATGGGTATATTATATATATTTATAATTTAGATTTAACTTCTACACATGAGAGAAAGCATGCATCCTCTGTCTCTCTGAACCTGTCTTCACTTAACATCATTTTATATGACATTTTGTTGTTGTTTTTTTGTTTTTGGTCAGTCATCAGGCTTAAACTCAGGGCCTGGGCACTTTCACTCAACCACTTTGATTTTTTTTTTTTTTTGGTCCGGTCGTGGTCGTGGGCCTGAACTCTGGGCCTGGGCGCTGTCCCTCAGCTCTTCAGCTCAAGGCTAGCGCTCTACCACTTGAGCCACAGCGCCACTTCCGGCTTTTTTCCTTTTTGCTTATGTGGTGCTGGGGAATCGAACCCAGGGCCTCATGCATGCAAGGCAAGCGCTCTACCACTGAGCCACCTTCCCATCCCTACTCCACCACTTTGAGCTGTACTACCACCTCTGGTTTTCTGGTGGTTAATTGGAAATAAGAGTATAATGGACTTTCCTGCCCTGGCTGGCTTCAAACCATGATCCTCAGAGCTCAGCCTCCTGAGTAGCTAGAATTATAGGCGTAAGCCACCAGCACCCCGCCCAGCTGACATGTTTGAAAAAACAAATTTCAAGTAACTCTGCCAGGAGTGGTCAGAGGATCTGGCTATAATGGGGCCTTGGAAGGGAGCTTTTTTTGTGATGGAACTATTTTGTATCTGGGCTGTGTGGAGGTAGATGGATACACAAATAGAACTATATAGAGAACAATTAATTTTGTTGATGTTATAAAACAAAATACAAGGGAATATGTGGTAAAATAGTGTCATTGACTTTTCCTTAAAAGGCTGATAAAAAAAAAAATAAGAGTTGTAGTGGCTAGGAAGGTAACTCAGTGGCCTTGCATGCATGAGGCCCTGGGTTCAATTCCTCGGCACCACATAAGCAGAAAAGGTTGGAAGTAACACAGTGGCTCAAGTGGTAGAGCACTAGCCTTGAGCTGAAGAGGTGAGGGACAGCGCCCAGGCCCAGAGTTAAGGCCCCACAATCAACAAAAAATAAAGATAACAGTTGTTAATGTCTAAAGTAGATGTTCAGATTTTTAAAAGCTTTGTTATATACTATTTTCAAAAGTCAGAGCATTCATTTTGAGGAATTTTTTTTGTTCTTTTTTTAAAAATCAGATTTCTGATAACTCCTAATGCTATTTTTATGAGTCAAATAGTAATAAGTGGCAAAAGTTTTATTTGATAGTAAATTTTTTGCTTTTTTTTCCCCCAAGAATCAGATGGGTGACTCAAATATCTCTAGCCCTGGATTACAACCAAGCACTCAGCTCTCCAATCTGGGAAGCATTGAGACTCTGGAAGAGACACCCTCTGGGTCACAAGATAAGGTTTGTAAAGTCCTAGCTATGTCCAAAGTAACAAAACAGAGTTCCGTTTCTTTAAGAGTTGTGATTGTACTGAAAGTTTGGTGTCACTTATCTATCGAAGATGTGTGTGAGACAGCATAATGACATTCATTCAGGTAGTTTCTGGTCTACTTCTTCTCGGTTCTCCTACTGATCTCCTAGCTTTTGCTCTTGCTGCTCTTTTCCCTATTTTCAATCCCTCAGCCAGCATAATCTTGGTAAAATATGTTTCATTTCTCTACTTAAAACACCTCAGTAATGTCCTATCACTTAAAAGCCATGTCTAGTCTGACCCCTCCCCCTATGGCTTTATCTTCTACCACCCTGCCTTGCTCACTTGACCCCAATCTCATTGGCTCTCCTGCCTTTCCTCAAATGTGCCAGACAATCTCCTACCTCAGGAAAGGCTTTCCTTTTCCTTTGGCCTGCAGTATCTTTGTCCAGGTATGTTTTTCTCCCTGTCCTCAGTTCCTGAATGTACTGTCTAGTTGGGGCCTTCTCTTCCTTGCTTTATTTTCTCACTAAGATTTCTAATCCGCTGGCAGTGCATAGCTCCATCTCAAGCCCACCAAAGTAAAAGCTCTTTGGGGCAGCAATCTCATCTGCCTTGATCAACGTGCATCTTCAGCATCTAGCATTATAAACATTTGGTGAGTTAATCTGTTTTCTTTACAATGATAGACTGATAAAAGAAATCAAATCAAACCTATTGTTTTTAACTTAAACTTTTCATTTTGAAATAACCATAAATTTAATTAGAAGAAATAATTCAGAAGGATCCTGTGTCCCTTTTCTCTTTCTCCATTGATAACATTTCACAAAATATATTACATTCAGCACATTGACACAAGCTACCCCCATCTTGTTCATACTTCCTCTATTTTACTTGCATTCATTTGTGAGGGGGAAGGTGTTCAGCTCTGTGAACTTCTGTCTCGGGTACAGATTTTTGTATCCACTACCATAGCTAAGATGGAGAATGCCTCTGTCCCCATAGGATCCTTTGTATTACTTCTCTATTATCCCACTGATTCCCTGTAATATCCTCTCTGCCTCCTCCCTTAATACCCCCCCCCCACACACACACACACACCTAGTCTTTAGACTCTGGCAAGCATTAGTCTGTTTTCCAGTTCTATAATGTTGTCTATTTCAAAAATGTTATGAAAAGGCAATCATGTGGTATGTCACCATGTGAGATTCTTTTTTGTTTTGTTGGTTGTGGGGCTTGAACTTAGGGCCTAGGCTCTTCTGCTCTAGGCTAGCACTCTGCCACTTTGAACCACTGCTCTACTTCTAGGTTTTTGGGTTTTTTTTCTAGTGGTTAATTGGAGATAAGAATCTTACAGACTTTCGGAAGTGGAGCTGTAGCTCAAGTGGTAGAGCGCTAGCTTTGAGCTGAAGAGCTGAGGGACAGCGCCCAGGCCCAGAGTTCAAGCCCCACGACGGACAAAAAAAAAAAAAAAAGAATCTTACAGACTTTCCTGCCCAGGCTGGCTTTGAACCTCAATACTCAGATCTTAGCCTCTTAAGTAGCTACTGCATCCCAGCCCAAATTTGTTCCCTTTTATTGCTAAGTATTATTAGGTAACAGAAGAACAGATTGACTATTCCATAACCAAAATACTTGAGATAGAGAGAGAGAGAGAGAGAGATACTTGGGAGTTGAGACTTAAATTTAAACCAGAAATTCATTATGTTCACATATACCTTATATGTATAGTGTGAAGGTAATCTTGCATAGTATGTTCAGTGTATCTGTATTTTGAGAGGCCTACAGTATTTTCACTGTGGCCTAATGTCAGTATTCAAAAGATTCAGGGTTTTTTAACCTCATAGATTTCGAATTTTAACCATTTTTGATCATTTATGCATTGAATGATATTTAGCTTGTTTTCAGGTTTTGTGTTTTTTTTTGATATAGCAACACTTAAATATTTGAGTGTAGATTTCTCTTTATTAACTTACATTAATTATACATGTTAATGAGATTCACTGTGATATTTCAGTACATGTACACACATACATTCACAATTGTTTGAATTACCTCCCTTCCGAAGCCTTCCACCTGTAGGATTTTGTATGAACATAAATTTCTCTTGGGATAAATTCCAAGTCCAAACATTGGATTATTTGGTAATTACATGTCTTCATTTAAGAAGAAACTATAAGGGGCTGGGAAGGTGGCTCAGTGGTAGAGCACTTGCCTTGCAAGCATGAGGCCCTGGGTTCGATACCTCAGCACCACATAAGCAAAAAGAAAAAAAGCCGAAGTGGCGCTGTGGCTCAAGTGGTAGAGCGCTAGCCTTGAGCTGAAGAGCTGAGGGACAGAGCATAGGCCCAGAGTTCAGGCCCCACGACCGGACCCTCCCCCCAAAAATAAACTTATCCTTCTCTCCCTCCCTCCCTCCCTCCCTTCCTTCCTTCCATCTTTCCCTCCCTCCCTCCCTTCTTTCCTTCCCTCCTTCCTTCTTCTTTCTTTAAAATAAAAAAAACTAATAAAAAAAAAAAGAAGAAACTATAAGCTTCTCTTTCCAGAGAAGCTGTACCATTTTACATCCCTTCAGAAATGTTTTTGGAGCTGGAGGTCTGGTTCAAGTGATAGAGCACTAAACAAGCAAGCATGTTTAAGACCTCAATTCAAACTTCAGTACCATCAAACACATAAAATAAAAGATGATGGACAAAATATCAAATTTATACTGGAGGCCTAGCTCAAGTGATAGAGTATCCCTGCCTTGCAAACAGAAAGCTATGAGTTCAATCCCTACCAATAAATAAATATTTGAAAAACAAATACATCCATAGTGTTTTGTTTTGTTTTGTTTTGCCAGTCATGGAGCCTGAACTCCGCCTGGATGCTATCCCTCAGCTCTTCAGCTCAAGGCTAGCACTCTACCACTTGAGCCACAGCACCACATCCATCTTTTTCTGCTTATGTGGTGCTGAGGAATTGAACCCAGGGCCTCATGCATGCAAAGCAAGCACTCTACCACTGAGCCATCTTCCCAGCCCTTGTCCATAGTCCATAGTATTTTGGAGTATTTAGATTAATCGTATTTGGAATCCTACATTCTCATGCCCCATTCTTTCTATGGAGGATCCTGAAAGTCAAATATACATTAAATACAGTTCTATTACAAAGATCTTACTATAAATTCAATTTTGTGTGTGCCAATGCTAAGGCTTGAACTTCAGGCCTGGGCATTGTCCCTGAGCTTTTTTGCTCAAGGCTAGCACTCTGCCACTTGAGCCAAGTTCTACTTCTGACTTTTTGGTGATTAATTGAAGCTAAGAGTCTCACAGACTTTCTAGCCTGGGCTGGCTTAGTACAGTAATCCTCAGATCTCAGCCTTAGTAGTTAGGATTACAGGCATTAGCTACTGGCTCACTGAGGAAAATACATTTTTAAAAACTAAACTCAAAGGCTAGGAAGGTGGCTCAGTGGTAGACTGCTTGCCTTGCATTCATGAGGCCCTGAGTTTGATTCCCCAGCACCACGTAAGCAGATAAAGGCCAGAAGTGGCACTGTGGCTCAAGTGGTAGAGTGCTCGCCTTGAGCTGAAGAGCTGAGGGACAGCGCCCAGGCCCAGAGTTCAAGCCCCACGACTGACCAAAAAAATAACTAAATAAATTTTTTTTAACAGTATAAAATAACTTTTATTTACATAATTTATACCTATAGAACATAACTGCTTTCTTTAGAACAAGAAAATTTACAATGACATATTGCTTCTTTTGTCAAAGATGTCTTCAAGCAAACTATTAATATACATGGCCATTTCTAGTTAATAAGGTGGTAAACAGTAGATACAAATCTTTTCATCTGTGCATCAATCACTTATCAACAATTATGAACTTCTAAACCATTGTACTGGTCACTTGCTAAGATCTAAGTGTTCAGGAGGGAAGGACAAAAAAAGATGAAGACTTTAAATCACATCTCTTTAAGACTTATAAAATAAATTCGTTGCAACATCTGCCTTACATCATTTGGACTTAACAGACTTTTCTACCTGGCAAGGTAGCTTCTCTTTCTCACAAGATCTGTTTTATGGATCTAACAATAGGAAAATCTATTGACTAACTGATTCTCCACACATTGAATGGCCTTGTATTTTTTATACAGTAAGAAATTGCATCTTCCAGAAAATTGGTTTATTGTATATGAACAAGAGACACAAGTTAACAAAGATAAGAAATAAATACTATAAAGGGATAAACAAGTCATAACAACCTAATATTAAACTAACATTACTAATATAATTAATAAGAACATGAATTTTTTTCATTTAACAAAACAGTATTAAAATAGCAAGGTGATTTACTATCATGATTTTTGTGACAGAAGTCATATGAGATAAATGTAAATTTATAATTTCCACTCAGATTTATGTTTCCCCTTCATGACCAAAAAACAACAAAACAAAACAAAACAAAACACCTATATTTCACTAGAAGGCAATCAATACGAAATGCTCTAATCCCAGATTTCAACAAATTACCATCACTATTATACCTGCTGAGCCATATCCCCTTTTATTAAAGAACTTGAAAACTGGCCACCACTTTTTCAATATACAAACACTAAAATTATCTAGAGTTTAAAATGTTTTCCCAATTGAAATACTGATGGTTTCATAATACGCAGTTTTTAGGCACACCTGAAAGCTTCCATGACAAGTACTCATAAAAAAAAGACATCAGCACCTTGAGGTAAAAAACTACTGTTAAAGGTAGGAATCAACTTCAACCTACAACCCAGGTGTCACTCTTCAAGGACGTACTCTGACTGCTCTCACATGTGACTAAAGGACTGTCCCAGCAGTAGATTACTGGGTCTACTATCCCAAAGAATGTTTAAGAAAAAAAAGTATCCAACTCCCAAACTAATTTATCAAAGGATTTTTGAACTAAAATCAAAATAAATATGCTCTTTGAGAAATTTTCATTTGAACTGAAAATTTTACTTGGGCAAATGT